GAAGGTTCAGGAAATCCAGGTTGGACTGAAATTAAACGGGACACATCAGCTGCTGGTCTATGCTGATGATGTGAATCTACTGGGTGATAATATAGACACCATAAAGAAAAAATCACAGAAACTTTAAGTTACACGATTAAGGAGGTTGGTCTTGATGTACGTAATATACTCGTATAGCTGTCTCGTCACCAGAATACAGAGCAAAATCATGATGTAGAGATACTTAACAGAACCTTTAAAAATGTGACACGTTCAGATATTTTGGAACTACAGTAAGAAACAAAATTTGATTATCGAGAAAATTAAGGGGTACTGAATTCGGGTGCCGATCACGGGGGCCGCGTGGTCTAAGGCATGAAATGTTTTCGCTCGCTCGAACATTCAGATCGTGGGTTCGAATCCAACTCGGAAGCATAGTTGTCTGTTTGTGTTTGTTCTGTGTTTGTGTTACGTAGCGGCCTTGCGACGGGCTGATCCCCCGTCCGAGGAGTCCTATTGACTGTCTAAGATTAAGAAACTGAAGTGAAACGAATCGTTTCACGGATGCCCTATGCTCCAAGTGGGAGCAACAGGAACATAATAGAATAGAATAGGAAACATAATTCGGGTAATGCTTGTTAAACATTCAGTCCAGAATATTTGGTCTTCCAGTCTGCTATATAAAAATGTAGAAATTAAAAGAGCAGAAAATTATAATTTTGCCTCTGGTTCTCTATGTTTGTGAATTTTGGTCTCTCTCATTAAACTAAGTATATGGATTGAGGTTGTTCGAGAACAAGGCGCTGAGGAGAATATTTGAACTGAAGAGAGATGAAGTGACAGGAGGTTGGAGAAAACTGCATAATGAGGAGCTTCATAACTTCTACTTTTCGCCAAATATGATTTGAATGATCAAGTCAGAGAGGATGAGATGTGCAGGGCCTGTAGCACACATGAGGGAGAAGACGAATGGATATGGGATACTGGTGGGAAAGCCAGAAGGAAAGAGACCACGTAGGTTGGAGTATAATGTTAAAAGGAATCTTACAAAACTAGGACGGGGTCGTGTGGACTGAACTGATCTGACTCAAGATAGGGCTCAATGGTGATGTCTTGTGAACACAGTAATGAAAATTCGGGTTCCGTGAAATGCTGGGTCATTGTCTAGTAGCTGAGGGACTGGCGGCTTCCCAATGGAGTTAGACAGTCTGACTCAGGAGGAACTGTCATAATATAACAGTGGTGGGCACTGGTTCGGTAATCAGGAAGGACTGCTGTTGTGGGTTTGGCACAAAGTTGTATCCAAAATTGTTTCATAAGTTCTGTATCCATATGCAAACAAAATCGTTGGACGTCTTCAGTAGATCCGACGTAACGATTTAATCACTGAGATAATTTCTTTATTACTCCGCTTAATTATTCAGGTCTGGTGGTCAGAGTTCCTGGTTACAGATCCAGAGGTCCCGGGTTCGTTTCCCGGGGTTACCAGATTTTCTGAGAAGTAATGGGTCTGGAACGGGGTCCACTCAGCCTCGTGAGGATAATTGAGGAGCTACTTGAATGGAAAAGTAGCGGCTACAGTCTAGAAAACCGAAATTAACGGCCTTGGGGCTCCGTTGCGCTGACCACGCGACACCCTCTAGCCGCTAAAGTTGACACTAACTTCGCCGAAAACGGCGGTCGCTCGGTCGGTATAGTTCGCTTGCGGACTACAGGCTACGGAGTTTGTTCTTTTCTTTCAAAGATATTAACACTGTAGCATTTCTCTAACGATTTATAATATAATGTCCTTCTTGTTAGTTTTCTGTTCGTCACAGTTTGCTGCAAAGCTATTGTAACACGTTCAGAATGAAACTTGTGCTCCTACTGATACTGCGCGCTCTTCAAGCCTAATTTCCTGACAAGCTGAGCCGAGCAGAAAATTCGGTTCAAATATGTTAGGCATGTTTCGGTCAGACAGCCGTACCACTACGACCTCCCAACACACATCGAGAATAATGCAGGCTACTGGTACATGTTAGCAAATATAGGGATAACGCAACAATTGTGAGTTTCACCCTACTACGGCCTCCACAATTCTGAATGCTTAGTTGTGATACGGGGAGGATATCTGAGGACATGCCACATAAACGTACTCCTCGAAACGAACCCATAAAAATCCTCGTTTTTTAACCCCATTTGCAAAATCGCAAGACTCGCACAAAAATATACAAGGCATAAAAAATATTAGTTTCAATTTTCCTTTTACAAATTTTGTGCTAAAATTTGTTCGCTTATCGGGTTCCGCGCGAAATGTAGGGAGACACGAACGCGTCCGTTGTTTATAAACACGATCTGGAATAAAAAGTATGAACAATGGTAGTCGAGTTTGTAAAATTACGATTCTTCAAAAATCCGGCCAGTAGTTCTCAAATAATGTAGCACGGTTAATTAATTCGCGGATATTCCGAATGAATCTAAATTCACAGAAGCAAAATACTGGTCTGTATTACACTCACTCACCATTTTTTGCTCCGACATCCAATAGAAGATTCAGAGCCTGAAATGTCTCCACTATCACCTTGCTCTGCTTCACTGAAGCCACTGAGCTAACAACCTGATTGTATTTTCAATGGCTCGGCCGAGGTTTAGGCTCCAAAATTTGTGCCATCTCAGGACAGCCATCAAGTCCACAGACAGAACGCCACTCGCTCATACCTTTTTCACACAACACTGACACACCTGTTCTTTGGTAAATGTATGGCTCTAACTCCGTGGGATCGTGTAACTGTGTCCCTTGTTTAAACTTGGAGGATTTCTTGTGTACAAGTGGGGTTGCAAAAATATCGTCAGAATATTGTCTGTTGCTTGAGCGTGAGGCTCTGTCTGCGCGTGCATTATGATACCGCGCGTCTCCAGTCACAATTAGCGAGTTTCGCCGCACGATTGGAAGTCGCCTACCTGTTCACGCGGTCTGCAATTGAAGTTGCACATTTACAATTACTGTCCTCACTGCGTTTATCAGCATATAACTATACGAGAACAGCCGAATGGATTTTCATGCAATTTTACTTTACGGAGTATCAGCAAATTCTATGTCCACATTCCAATCTTACTTTATGTCGGACAGAAAGGGCGGCGTCACGTCAAGACCTGCGTGCATTTCTACTTGCCCCTGGAGCGTAACTGGCTAAATATTTACTGAAAGCCAGCCCTTTTGTGGCGCTGCTGTTGTACCTGAGCACTTGCCAGACAATTAACAAAATCCGAAATCTACATGCGTGTCTAAACTTAAGTGGCATGCAAGCATCCACACTGTTCAGATTCTAGACGTAGCTAATGTAAGAAAGTTAATAGATATTCTGCATTTGGAGGTTCCTTCTTCACTATAAACTTGTTGTTTAATACTACGGTGAAATCTTGCGTCATAACAAAATAAATAAATAGTAAATGTGATCACACATGCAAGTACTCACTGCCAGTTGTAATTATTGAAATTCGCGAGGAGTCAAAGCTGTATGCTGAATGAATGCAGAGCCATTAGCAAGGTTTGTCTCTTCACTGTTATCATACACACCAACAGAAAATTGATTACATATTTATATTTATAGGCCTATCCTGCTTAATACGTGCCTCAAATTGTGGCTGTAATAGAGCAGTAAAGTATGTTGAAGGTCGTGGATTAGTTTCTTCTTTAAATGCGGTCTTTCGGAGAAACGCTCAAACCATTCCTTTCCACCTGTTATGATCAAGAAATTCGAGCACCACGATTGATTGTGTTCGGACTGAATGGTACACAGCGTCCTGACACTGCGTTATCTGACTTACCGACAGGGTCGTTAAATAAGCTACAATGTGCAGGCTATACGCGCTGTCCTATAAATTCAGGTGAGGATGGGGAGCTTCGTTTGCTTATCGATAATAGCAGACTTCGATAATTTTCGGATGTTGTCGGGAAACCAATTCCTTTTTAATCTTGGATGTAAAAGTTATTAAATCTTGCACATAAGGTTGCTTTTATTGAAGAATCTCGAAAGGTGTGAGACTTATGGAAGGAATGTACCGAACATAAACTACTTGTTTAATTCCTCTGTGAAACTTCTGTTCGAAATATTTTCCGGTCGGGTAAATATGTAGCGACTGACGACCGAGATGCATGCACAAGTATCTGTTAGTGCTGCGTGATTTCAGCCCCAAATTGGAACCTGTAGACAGATTCTAATAGAACTTCCCAGAATGAAAATTCATAAAAATCAGTTCAGAAATTTTCGAGTTTTTTTCATATGTTCAGACGGAAGGGCAGACAATGTTGGGACACTCGGTTTCCGCATGCGCAGAATCATTCTTTACAAAGCAACAGAAACACACGAAGCAACTGAAGGCGAACATGCAAATGCCTGGCATTATCTGAGCTGTTGAAACGCAATCCGGCGTCACAAAATGGCGTCTGTACGTCCTTCCCTTGGACTAACAACAAACTTTTGAAAGCCTTCCCTAGTGTTTAAATAGAAAACAGAGCGAGAGGCAGCGGTTTAACGTAAATGTAATTTGTTCGCGCTTATGCACAGTTGTATGAAATATATGAAAGTTCACTCGAACCACGCAGAGTATAGACAATTACGTAACACACTCCAGTAGCCTATACTGTGTTGCATATATCTTGAGGTCAGTTTCAGCGAGCTCTTGTAGCTGGAGTCCGTACCGATGTGCACACCTTTTCGTATGACGAAATCCCCTAACGCTTCGGAACATAGTAACAGTATTAATTTCAGCTTTGGTTATACGGCAAGTTACTGCATTTCGGAAGTGACGCTTGCGTCGGTCTCACCTTGCAAGTTCCTGCATCCGATATGTTGTTACTACCGATTGCAGGAAAGTAAGGATTACGAGCTTTAACTGTCGTCAAATGACAGAACGTTCATACCAAATGTAATCAAAATCGGTCCAGCAGTTCTCGAGTTGAGAGACACGTGGACAGACAGATGTGATCTCGCCTAAATCCTCCGCCACGCCCACTTCCTCACAAGCAAGATGCTACATACCGCTACCAGCTGACCGGCAGTCATCCTTCCGCGTCGCCAGCTCTCGCACTTGTGGCGCTCCGCCTCTCATCTGCGCTGCTGTGTCCCGCTCCCCCCCCCTCCTGCGCCGTCCCTTCACTAGACCCCCTGCAGACAGATGCGTCGAAACGAGGATCAGGATCTTTCTGTCACCCTGCAATCCTTCGCAGCCACTTCTTGCACAACGCCAGTGCCGCTGTGTAGAAGTCTATCAGATGTCTACCGATGTTCCGGAGAGCCTGAATGTACATGCAGCGCGTTCTTCCTAAATGTCGATAAATATCTACCAGACGACACTGTGTCCCATCCCAGAAGACAGTGCCGCCGTGAATACCGTTTGCACAATCCCCAAACGCGTGCATTACCAGGCTAGACGAGTGAAACTGGGTTTCTCGCATACGGTTCTGTTTCTTTTTTAAGTGACGTCTATACATTCTGTTGCGTATGATGGAGAGTTTGTCTTCTTATTTTGCTTTTGTTTGTTGGCTAAAGTGACTAATACTCGCCTCCCTGTAACGTCGAGATCAAGATTGGTGGAGCTGTACCTCCGCTCCCCATATTCCTGCAAGGCATTATGCTCAATTACATAATTAAATACAGGGATAGTTGAACTTTTACTCTAACTTTGTCTCTTCGAGAGCTTTCACGAAATTAAAATTGAACCTGATTCAGAACAGGGGAAACATTGTTAAATACACAGTCCCATCGCTTCTGCAGTGTGCAGTATTCTCATAGAGTTTGATGTACCCCTGAAACTGGTCAGGCTGGTTACAATGTGTTTAAACAAAACGCATGGTAAAGTCAGCATAGGTGAACAGTTGTCTGATAGTCTTCGTACCCAGAATGGTGTAAAAAGTAGGAGATGCTTTATTTCCAGTGTTCTTATATTTTGCTTGCGGATATGCCATTAGGAAGGTCCAGGAATACAGGTGGGACTGGAATTAAACGGGACACAACAGCTGCTGGTCTATGCTTATAATGTGACTCTACTGAGAGATAACATATATACCATAAAGGAAACCACAGAAACTTTAACTGATTATAGTAAGGAGGTTGGTCTAGAAGAAAACACAGCGAAAACTAAATGTATGTTGCTTTCTGGTGGCCAGAATACGGGGCAAAATGATGACATAGAAATACTTAACAGAACCTTTGAAAATGTGGCACAGTTCAGATATTTGGGAACTACAGTAGAAAATAATAGCTTCGTAACTTGAACTCTTCGACAAATAAAATAAGAATTGTGAAATCCAAGAGTATGAGATAAGCAGAGCATGTAGCGCGAATGGGAGCGAAGAGGAATGCACATGGGATTTTGGTGGGCAAGTCGGAAAGAAAGGCACCACTAGGGAGACCTGGCCGAAAATGAGAGGATAATATTAAAATGAATTTTATAGAAATAGGATGGGGTTGTATAGACTGGATTGATATGATGGAGATCAGTGGCTGTCTCTTATGAACACGGTAATATGAACGTTAGGTTTCCATGAAATATGAAGAGGGATTGTTGAGGGATTGTTGAGCAGCTGAGCGACTGATGGCTTCTTAAGAAAGACTCAGTTCCACGGAGTTGGTGAATTACTAGAGACTGACTTTGACGTAAGAAATGTCAAGTTCTCAGCCATGGATGAGCATTCTTGTGTGCTGTGTTTTAATATACAGCAGGTTTGCTTGTGGCGCCACACTCTGTGTGGTAATCGTGTTGTTGTCGGAAAATGTTTTCGGCTCCAGATATGCAGGTTTGGTACCGACGCAAAACATGACTCTAAAAACAGCAGTCTTCAAAATGCAGGAAAGGAAAGACGAATTTTACGGAAAATAATCTTTTAAATAAGACATTTATTTCTTTTGTGAGGTGGCACCGAAAAATTGCGAAAATTTGCTTCGTAGCTTCCCCGTGTCTGTTGCACGTCTGTCTTTCTGTTCACCAATAAGAACTCGAGAAACGCGAAAAAGATATTTCATGAATTTTATTAACATTCTGTTTTTGTTTGAACTCGGGCAAGTATACCGGACACTCTACATTGAACCCTACATAAGATCCAGGACAAATCTCCCCAACAACTCGATGAATATTTATCAGTCCGAAAACTCTTTCCGGTGTGGTCTACCGAGGAGCAGTTGCTCCTGAGGTCGCAATGAATGTATGATACTAGACCCATATTTTCCAGTATGCATCCTAGCCATGAATTCACCATTCTCCCAAAGAGCCTAAAGACACTGCTGGTGAGACATATTGGACTACACCGGTCTTTAGAATGGGGACTACCATCGCCTGTCCGCACTTAGACGGGAAGGAATCCTCGGCTCAAACCCGAATGTACGAGCTCAGTAGGCACGACGAGGAATATTAAGGCAAGTGCTCAAGTATGTGGATATGAACGACGTTAAGCCCCAGAGATGTTTCGCGCTCAGGTTAAGGCTTTCAGAAATTCGTCCGCAGAAAAAAAAGTGAAATTTATGCTTCTGAAACTCGAGTGACGCAACTGAGGTGCCGAACTTTTTCGCCTTCTTCGATCTGACGGAAGACAGGAGCACAGTTTGCAGAGCATGAGGCGGATCCGTAGGAGGACAATGTGAAGTTTCCGCGACGCCGATCACAGAAATAGCCGGAATGCATTTACTCGGCATGTACCATGGAGTTCTGGTGCCACAGTGTAAGGCATAGAGCTGAGTACTGAAGAACCAGATTTTGCCAGAGTCCTGTTTACACTGTTGAACTCCGGAACTGAGCCGGGGCATAGACCGTTCGGAAACTATGAGAACACTTACCCGCCATAAATGGCACTATTGAAAAATGCGTCTCCTAAATTTCAGCAAGAGAGGACTCGTCAGCCTATTTCTACACTCAGTTAGGATTGCGCCTTCTGAAGAGTAGCTGACTGTAAGGAGAGACACGTTGTACAGTGTCAACACCCACAGAGACAATCCAGCAACGTCGGTGTGAGGTAATGAGATAGCAGTACTGCAGACAACAAGGTCGAGATGCTTGGGCTCGCCCGTATCTAACATCATGATGTTAAATCTGGATATCAGTGCTTGTGAGGCGTGACCTGCTCGTCCCCATCTACGATACATCAGATATTCCAACAGCAGAGAAGAAATAGCAGTTCCAGCTTTCGTCCTGTCACCGGCAACACAGTCGTGTCTGTGTGAGGCATATCCTCTACGTAGCAGTGTTTCCTGCAGTCAGGCAGATGTAGGAGAATGCGTCCTACGCAAGTTGCCACGTTCAGGAAGGCGAGAATATTTCATGTTGTGTAGAGCATGGAGAATGTCTACTTCTGGTTCTTATTTCTGCTTTGGAGTTGTTGTTCTGTCTGAAATTTCCATATATGCGAGTATATAGTCCCTCACAGGATATTAAAACTAAAATTCTGGACTATATCCATCGTCCCAGTCAGTTGCACCACGACGTTTCGGCAGCTGGATCTGCTACCGTCCTCAGGTAAGTAAAATGGAGGTAAAAACGGGGAAACTGGGAAAAAAATTAAAGGTAAGGAGGGTTCTTATGTATCCTATACAGTTGGGTCCCTTAGATCAAGCTAATCTCAATCACTGGACAAACTGGCAGGGGACGAGATCAAGGGTGATCAATTCATAGTGGGAAGTTGTCAATGGGAGATAAAAAGACGAATCAAGATAAAAAATTATTGAAAGACACAAATCGTCTGGGACAAGGAGCAAAGAAAGAATTGAAATATTCTACAGGAATATAGAGTGAAGGAGAAAAGGAAAAAAAAGGAAAAAAAAAGGAAAAAAACTTAGGGAGTTCTAATCACCCCTCTTCTTGCTGTTGTGAATGCCATTCATTTCCTCAAACACCAGGGGTGACCAAATTATGGAAAAATCCAAGCTGGGTTGGCTAATCGTGTTGCCAGCCCAAGCCATATATGCTGCCTCCTTATATTTCCTGACGGTAGCGTTCCTCTCGAGGTCCAGGATCCCCGTTGCATCCCACTTCACAGAATGGTCCTCCTCGTAGGCGTGTTGGGCCAATCTTGACTTGTCCAGAAGGCCCTCCTTGAACGTGTGCTTGTGCTCACGAAGTCTCACTGCCAACGGTCTTCCAGTCTCCCCGATGTAATATCTGCCACACTCACAAGGGATACTATAAATACAATGTGAGGTATGCTGAGGTTCTCCTTTTGGAGTGGTCTTGACAAACATACTCTTCAGAGTATGTTTTGTTTGAAAAATGGTTTTGATCTTGAACCGTTCCGCTATCCGTTTGATTTTTTCGGAAACACCCTTAACGTATGCAATGTACATAGTACCCATGTAATTCTGTTCTGGCCGAGAGCAGGATTTTGTTTTAAAGGCAGAGTCGATAAAACTTGGGGGGTACCCATTCGTAAGAAATTCCCGTCTTAAGTGGGATATTTCTTTATGCTGGTCATTTTGGTCCTGGCAAATGGTAATGGCTCTTTTTTGAAGACCCCGGATTAGGCCCTTCTTGATGTGGGGTGGATGGTTGGACTCAAAGTTCAGATACCGACCCGTATGGGTAGGCTTTCTGTAAACCTTGGTGGAAAAGGTGGCGTCTGTTTTTGTCACCAAAACATCCAGAAACGGAATAGTGTTGTTGACTTCAGTTTCCATAGTAAACTGGATGGTTGGTCTAATACTGTTGAGGTGAATGAGAAAATTCTGAAGTGTATTGGGACCGTGGGGCCAGATCACGAACGTGTCGTCAACATATCGGAACCAGCAGGAAGGCTTAAATAAGGCTGAGTCCAAAGCTAGTTTCTCAAAATGGACCATATACAGGTCACAAACAATGGGAGATAGGGAGTTGCCCATGGCCATGCCATCCTTCTGTTGGAAAAACTTATTATCCATTTTACTTACCTGAGGACGGTAGCAGATCCAGCTGCCGAAACGTCGTGGTGCAACTGACTGGGACGATGGATATAGTCCAGAATTTTAGTTTTAATATCTATTCTCCATCGTCAGGATCCTTTAGCCCCCCCTCACAGGATGTCTGTAGGTTGGGAGAGCTGCTTCTTCGACGCGCAAGCCACAGGGCAGGTTAAATGTGGGGTCTGTTTTTGTGGTCTGTTTCTAAGGGAAATCGGGAGCCACTGCTGCCTTTGAGAGTGTCCGAGATTACAGGGAAGGATCTTCAGTCTAGCGGTTTCAGATGTAGTGGTAGAAGCATCTGTTTGGGTGAGCATTTCAGCGGTAGGCGGTAGAGAAGCAGCAGCTAGGGCATCGGTGCCTTTCGCCTGTGTAGGATGCGGTTCCACTTTTGGGTTTCCTTCTCTTGTAGGAATCTTGAACTGCCTGGAGAACTGGACATGTGTGGAGCGGATCAGCTTGTATGTCAGATCGGCCCTGGACAGATGGTGTCACCACGGTCCTTCGTTCTACGCTTTGGTCTAATGGCGTCAGTCTTGGCGCCTGAAACAGAGTATGCGATATGGTAGGTAATTGTTACATTTTATTGTGTGCAAAGAACTCACCCGTTTAGGTAATCAGGAAGACAGTTGGCGTTTACATATGCTCCTTCTTTTTCCATGCTATGTGCGTTGGATATGTACTGATCTGCGAGTCCTGCCTGAATTTCTTCATGTGTGTATGCATCAGCTCTAGGGCAGAGGATAACGCGCCTGGTCGAGGTGAGGTTTGGATTGGTTCAATTTCAACAGAATACGAACCCAGGAGCTTCAGATTTTGAAGAGACCCATCTTAGAGTCTTGAAGATTTCTTCACAGGTCCTCCAATTTGTTATGGCTCCTGAATATATCAGTACACCGTCTATTTTTTATTACTAGCGGTTTGGGACTAAGTCCCTTGTACTACGGCCACTTCTGGCCTATTGTACCAGCCCCAGATGATAGGTGAGGGTGATTGTGGAGCAATTGGTGGAATGAAGATTGGCAGTGGAAACCGAAGTACTCGGAGAAAACCTGCACCAGCGCCACTTTGTCCACCACAAATCCCACTTGACCAGACCCGGGATCGGGAAGCCAGCGACTAACCGCTTGAGCTATGGTGCGGCCAGTACACCGTCTTAGAAGCAAATGTGGAGTACAACATATAACAATTGGAGCAGATACATTAGACTTGAAATATTTTTGGTCTCTGAGTCAGGGGGAGAAGGGCGGGATGGACGTGTATTCCGCCCCACCCAGGAGTCGTTGATGTCAGCCCGCATTTGCTGGTATAAGGACAGAGACATATAAATCAGTCAGTCCCTGCCAGCGCGGGGACCTCAGTCACGAACCGATCTCAGAGGGTAATTCCTAACCTGAAGGGAAATCCTGCACTTTCGGCTGGCTGCCACGTTATGCCCCTACCAAGGGCGTGTAATGGTTCTGTAGGCTTATATATACGATTACATACAAACACAGGCCTGCTCGACCTCAGGGGCTTGTGGTTGATTATATCGCAGCTCTTAGTCAGCGGTATCAGGTCAGAAGGGCGCAACCAAGCTGACGGCCATGACTCCGTTGGGCTCCGGATGGGCAGTACGTAAGTGTGCATCACTTACAAGGAGAAGAATCCACTCAACAAAAGATGGAAGTGGCACAAGATCGGGGGACAGCGCCACGCAGAGAGGTGAGGTGAGGTTATAACTGTAAGGGATCTTAAACACTCAGAAGCAAATAACCCTGGACGAAAAGGAATCTGACAACTGTTGTGGTGGACACCAACGGATCTCGCCAAACCACCAGCAAGATGAACTCAGGAAAATGAGGATGGTGTGTCAGGCGTAGCACTTGGAATTATCATATTATGTATACCTTTCCTAACTTGTTTTAGTTGTATGATCCTGTTTCGAAATTTGCTGACTCTGTATAGCTGAGAAGAACCACTGTTGTCACAAGTGGGAAGTGGCTGCGTCCCTCAGACAGGCAAACTCGAACTTGTCGACAATGAACGAGACACAGCACACCGTAGCCAATTAGCACTGTGACTTGCCGTTGTTTGTTCAGTATTAAACGGAAACAGAACTTGCTGAGATTCCGTTGTGAGCAGGGCTTGCTGTATTTCTATTTCTGGTGATGTAAGTCGGCTAAACATTTAATGAGAAAGCGTCAGGTTGGTGACGTCAACACAGACCTCGCCTTCTCGGCCGGCGCATGCCCACAAACTGTAGCTCTACAGTTGGATATGGTGGAGAGATAATTATGTTTTTTAACATAAAAGTGGGGATCATCCAACATGAGGAATAACTCGCGTGTGAAACGGAGAATTCGTTGGCTGCTTTACACACTTCAGGGAAGTCAGAGCTAACTTTGGACCATTTCCTGGATAAATGCAGAAAGCGTATTAAGTCGGTCTCATAATTGTAACGTACAGCACGCTACAAAATGACTCTTTGAAACTGGCGGTAAACTAAGATTATTGACAGAGGATTCCTATGTGTTATAATAAAGGGCGATGTGATTCATCCATATTTAGGCTATACTATTGTTATTATTGCCGGTCACGGTAGCCGAGCGGTCTAAGGCATGCACTGCCTTCGCTCGCTCGGAAGCCGGGATCGTGGGTTCGAATCCCACTCAGGGCATGGATGTTTGTGTGCGTTTTTCTATGTTTGTCTACAGGCAGAGGCCTTGCGACGAGCTGATCACTCGCCCAAGCAGTCCTACCAAATGTGTAAGATCTAGAAAAACCGAAGTGAATGGAGTTCATGGAGGTAGGCCTAGGCCCAGTGGGGCTGTAGTGCCAAGGAAAAAAAATTGTTATTATTAAAATTGATATGGGCATTGCATGAACAATTAAGGAAATTGGACGAAATAATTTTTTTTTTCAATAGCTCTTCCAGCCCATTAAGGGCCCGGGTCTTCTATTAAATTCCGTGATCATTTTTCACAGATTGTAGGACTGCTTGGACGAGTGATCAGACCCTCGCAAGACCGCTACCTACACACAGGACAGCACAAATACAGAATAAACACATACACACAGCAAATACCCTTGCCTCGATTGAGGTACGATCTCACGTACCAAGCGACCGAACGAGCGAAGACAGTTCATGCCTTAGACCGCGGGGCTACTGTGACCGGCGCGAATTTATTCTGCACGTTGCATTAATAAAGCAATTTTGTTCCCAGAATAGAATACAGCCCACCACACCAGTGAATAAGCTGTTAGCACAACGGACAAACGAAGATAAGTACAGACCCCATTCAATAGAGGCCTTCTGCGAAGATAAGTTTCCAATCGATTATGAAGCCAAATCTAATAAATTCATGTTTATAACAAAGTAGGCCCACTATTGGTGCGGAGAGGCGAATAGCAGGCAGAACACAAACGATCACATCACTTTGATGCTGAATACGCTTGAAATTAACAGGAGTCATATATGGCTATATTCTAGCAAAATAGGGCACGTTAAAATTAACGACGAAGTGATAAATATTAATACAAGGATCCTATTTCTCGTAGGCCAACTGATCTCAGAGACAGGCATTCCCTATCAGAAACATAAGCCTGCACGCTTATTTGTGACCTACCACTCAACTTAACGTTTGTGCAACGTTTGACAGTTCGTTGCTATGACAACCCGAAACTGCGTAATTCAAAGTTTTGACTCACTGTTAACAGAACTTGTCTAGGTACACTCTAGAAAGAGATGTTAACTTAAATTGCCATATTTACGGTGGCTCTGTGTCGATGACTCTCGATAGTTGTTGCAGTGTAGTTCACTAACTAATGTATGATTATAACACGAAACTACTTGCTTGAGCAATAATTGGTAAAGTATTTGTATTGACCCTACCGGGACTCGAACTCCCACCCCTTGGTCGTCCAGTCCGTAGTAAGACGCTAGGCCGATTAAGGCTTTACATTTAAATTATATGTTAGTTTGAAATTTATTGGGATTTGTGGTGGACAAATTGGCACTGGGGCAGGTTTTCTCCGAGTACTTCGGTTTCCCCTGCCAATCTTCATTCCACCAATTGCTCCACAATCACCCTCACTTATCATTTGGGGCTGGTACAATAGGCCAGAAGTGGCCCCAGTACAAGGGACTTAATCCCACCCCACTAGCAATAAAAATAGTTTGAAATTTAATATAATAAAATACGCAATAAGCAACAAACAAATTTAATTAAAATCCACGTGAATATTTTAATGTGACTGATGTGCGTGTTGTGTTATTTAAGGTTCCCCGATGTTACGTGTAAACAGTCAGCTTGAGTCATACGTCAGATTCAACATTCATCTCTCCTGTCACCTGTTTGGACTTTGCTTGTGACGAACCTGATGTTCAGGTGGATGAACGGAGACAGAATATGTGAGAACCTGCGTCTCTCGTACAGACATGTTGTACAGGTACAGCAGTATGCGTGCTAAAGCGGCAGCAAAGACATCTGTCACGGTAAATTACATATATGTCTCTGCTGTGTGGAGAAAATGGATCAGTTGAGAAATTTCAAGCAAAATGCCAGTTGAGGAGCCCCCATTTGGAACTAACGGGGGAATCCCAATAATTTCCCTGCACACGTATACGAGCAGGGAATCCCCAAGGACGAAGAGCGAGTTAGCCGAGAGCCCCGAGGGCATGGCCTTGCAATGAAATTAGCGAGTTGAACAAACGGTGCTGGTACGGAAGTCCGGAAATAGAAAAGCACTTCGTCATGTGCGTCTGTCTGTCCGCTAGGAGTAAGAACTGCCGGAGTGGCTCCTATGAAATTGTGTACTGCTATATTGGGCTACACTTTACTTCAGCGCCTATATGAAATCTTATTTACACATACTACTGAGAAATTCTCTCCTCGCCGTGTTAGCCAAATGTCGAGGCGACAGGGTAAGGAAGTAGATGCTGCATGGGCATAGTAGAGATGCTACAAGTAGGCCCTGGTTTTGGCTCTGTGGGCTGTATG